ATAAATTAAATCAAAAACAAAAAAGTCACGCGCCGCGTAGCTTGTGAGACTTGCGCCTTTGTGTAGTAACTTATCATACATATGTTATATGCTAAAATTATTTCATTATAGATAGGATTTCATGGTTATTAATTTTTAAGGATGTTTAAAGACTTTCTTATTTATCTTTAAAATCCTGTGCGGTATTTCCTTGGTTTATACAGGGTGTTCCATAATTATTGCGACAAAATGATAGGGGTTGTAGAGGGCAATCAAAATGAACAATTTTTCCTTATAAACCCCTGTTCGGAAACATGCCGTTTGGGCTGCAGCAAAAAAAAGATCAGTTCTTTTGAAAACAGCTTACCTACAGTAATTGCTCAAAGTGTCCTCACCTTGCTCAATACACACCTGTCACGATTGTTCAATGATCGGCGAACTCTGTGGCATACCCCCGGTATGTCCTGAACATGTGGGACGCGCCATCACTCTTCCCAGTAGCTCTTGTTGGTTGGGAACAGGAGTTTCGTACACTAAAGCTTTCAGATAGCTCCAGATAAAATAATCCAGTGGAGTCAGGTCAAGTGACCGCGCAGGCCAAGGCACAGGGCCACCTCGGCCTATCCACCTATTGGAAATTTGTCGTCCAAAAAACTGCCGCACTTGTAAAGAAAAGTGGGCTGGACGCCATGGTGTTGAAACCACATGTTTGGCTCTTATATTCAGTGGCACATTTTCTAATAGTTCCGGTAGCACATGCTGTAAGATCGACCATAAGCTGCCCTACCAAACGTGGTGGAAGCAGATATGGCCCGATGATATGCTCGTCCACAATGCCGCACCAGATGTTAATTGAAAACTGATTTGGTCTCTATGGATGGCTATGGCATGAGGGTTTTCTTCATCCCAAATGTGACTGTTACGGGCTATTAAATAACCGTCCTTTGTAAAACAGGACTCGTCAGTGAACAAAACGTAGCGACCAAAGTTTGGTTGCCTCAACTCCTGCTGCAGCCACCAAAGACAAAAACGTCGACGCGGCAGATAGTTGCTGGACCCATGGCTTGACTTTTAAAAGGTGGTACGGGTGTACGATCACAAAAATGTAAACACAGCAGGCTTTTTCTACAAACCGGCGAGACCATGAAATGTGCTAGACGAACATTTTGCAGCTGGTGAATTTTTTGTTTCTCCTATGAGCTCTTAAGGTAAAATTAACGTAGTGCTCAAACGGCATATTTTACGAACAGGGGTTTATAAGGCAAAATTGCATATTTTTATGCCCTCTACAACCCCATCATTTGTCGCATCGCAATAATTATGGAACACCCTGTATATGCTGTAAAAGTAGTGTCAGATAGTTTGCCAAGACGGTGGGCATAATGCTTTGTGAAAACCCGGTTTGCTTGTATATTCTGGATATTGGCCGAGCATGCACGTCACCACCTGTAATTACAGTATTCTAGGTAATTATTCATATTTGCTTTTACTTTGGTAAGATTTGACATAAACCGTTTGAATAAATTACGGAATATACAGATAGAACATATTTGAAGTTAGGCTAGCTACGGTTCAAAAAGTCACCACAAAGCGGTCCCACCTACGTCATGCAACTGTGAAGTAAACTTATCCAGTCTTTTGCTGAGGCTCATGTTGTTGCTCTTAATATCACGACAGTTCGATCAGCTGTGTATGCTGCCCTCTTATGCAGACCATACTATGGCCTCCCCGGAAGCTTTGCAGATGGAGGGCAGGTTTCGACATTGTTCCCGTTACATATCAGCGGCCGTCTTTTCTGTGCACCCCATTGACCTGGAGGTCATCAGTGCTTGGGGACGCAACAATCTTGTACAGTTTAATGCTTCCGAAGCACAGTACTGTACCTTGACTAACTAATAGTCCCCTAGCGCTCATCCGGTTTCGATGGATGGTCGAGTTCTGCTAAACAGCTGTTCATGTCGTCAATATCCGCAGCTGCTGGAAAAAAGCTAGGCTATTTTTTAAGGCTAAGAAGTACTCTTCTCCGCATGACCTCGTCACTTCATACAAGGACCAGATAAGACCTAGCCTCGAGTATTGCTGACACGTTTGGGTTGCTGCCGCCCCGAGTACATTATTTATACTCGATGCTGTCCATAGGAGGGCTGTCCAACTGCTCGATGAGTCTTCTCTTACAAACAGTCTCGGGACACTGTCGGATCGGCGGGCCGTCGGCGATCTAGCTCTCTTCTACCGCTTACACCAACGGGCTTTGCTCTCAGAACTCTCCGTTATGATGCCGCGGCGCGTTGTGCCTGTCAGACAGACCCGCCTAACTTCTGCTTCCCATCCTAACCTTGTCAAGATTGTGGACACAATCTACAAGAGGAAGCTTTTTCCCAGTTCGACTAACCTTCAGCTGTTCGAAAATCGGGATTAACAAAATTTGTTTGGGAGCCCCATAGCAGTCACGGTGACCTGGCATTTAGGCTTCGGCTTGCACGGCTGCTTCGTATAAAAAAATATTCACATATCTCAGATTTCCCCCAACAGGCATGGACTAATTATATGGACCTTGTTTGAATGACTTCATCCGTTTATTTTGTCTGTTGTACAAGTTCGTAACTATTTTTTTCTTAGAGGGTTTAGCTTGTGTTGAACACAATGCTGAATGAACTGATGACGGCGTTATGTAGGCAATGCAGACCCAACCTACTTAACGTCATTTCTTGGAAATCTCGTAGTAGTGCCGATACAAATCAATGATAATCATTTTACAGTGATACTAACATACAGTCAAAATATTTCAGCACACACTATATAAATCGCCGGACAGGTTGGCGGATGTACAGTCTGGCGAAAATCAAAAGTCTATTAAACAAGGTTTAAAATAGCTTCAAATTGAAATAGGTCGGAAATACTCCTTGAGATCTTACAGATGCAGGTGTTTTAACCGAGTTTTGAGTATTGAAAATGTCAACTTAGAGAAAAGACATTTTTTTGTTTATAAAGATTCAGAAAACCTACAAAATAACTGCTCCTGAGGCGAAAAAACATTTTTTTGTGATATGTTTACAAACATGTATTGAAAATCCCGCTTGACAACCTCTTAATTAATGTTAAAGGGCATCCAAACAACGCGGGTATGCTTATGTCTCATCTAATTATCCCAGCATATGTCCATAAATGATCACTAGATATCGGAAGTCACTAACTGTCAGCCTGGAATAAGCAATTGTAGCTGATAAACAGGTTTCTCACAT